CTGAATGAAATTTGATGAACCATCGTTGACGCTTTCGAACGTTCAAAACACTCCCATAAACTTCTTTGATATTCTTTGTGGCTACAGAGGAGTTATTCCCCTTCTTTTATTCAACCAGCATTACATGCCGAATGTGTGTCTCGTCGTGTGCCATCACTATAAGGGATTAGAGTATACTAAACTTTACACGTTATATAGGTTACACTAACGTGACGTTTCGTTTAACTGTTATACTAACTTGAATACAGGACATGCATTGAATACATTTTTGCGATTTTGTTAAGAATAAATAATAATATACTTCATTTAGTTGAGATGATAAGCAACCAGTAACAAGATAACTACAAATGTTACATAGGTAGATATGACTAATGGATAAGGAACTTGAAGGATAAAAATCTTGTATATCCTTTTACACCGGAAATGACGAAATGTTATGCTGAAGAAATAAGGCGTGCGTCTGAAACCCGTCCCTGCTGTTCATATCTCGTGAAGCTGTTAAGGATTATAAGTCCCTGGTACATATTTGGATAAAGCCTAATAAATTTTTGTTAGCTAGCATGTTTTAGTCGTGAACTTGAACTCTGGCATTTCTTACGTCTTGAAATGGTAGACAAATGTTTGTTGGTTTCTGTATCGCGGCCAGTATTTATTATATAGCTTCTGTTTTCTATAAACCATTGACGAACAAAAAAGAAACGGATACACTTTGCTTAGGCTGTTATCGATATTTCACTCGCTAGCTAATTCTAGTGCTGCCCGCCAGCGATATGTCTGCGGACTTACAACGCTAGAATCCGGGTTTCGATTCTCGTGGTGGGCAGAGTACAGATAGCCCATTGTGTAGCTTTGTGCTTAATTGCAAACAAACAAACAAATTCCTGTGTTCTCCAATAAACAATACATCGCACATTCTTTGTTGTTGTTGTTCTAATAAAATATTGTTTCTTGATAACATTTTTATCACCCCAGGGAGGGCCTTTTTTTCCAAAGAGATGATTAGCTTACAAACATGCTGCATTTTGTATTAGTATTTTTAAGTAGTGACTCTTGTAACAATCTTGTGATGAAAAGATGTCGTCGAGAAAAAACAAACACAAAAACAGTTTAGAACTTCACCCATATCGCTTAACGACGAAAAATATGACTAATCACAGCTAAAAGACAAGGATTCTGAAGTGTTGGTTTGGTATGATTTATCCCTATTGTTACAACAGCGGAAGTCGCGTGACGCTGGAAGCATGCGTGCTGGATTTTCTAGAATTATCGGGGAACCCCGCGAAGTCCGAGTGTTTGCTAGACGCCCGCTTTTTTAGTATATAAGTTTAGCAAAGAAAGCCAGCGATATAGGCAGATAGATTGCAGAGATAGATAACTGAGTCAAGCGAACAGTAGGCACCGTAAGTAAAGTGTGTGAATCACTGTGATTTATTTCGTGTGTTATAAAGTCTAAGTAAAGTGACGAGATAACGTATTGACTGTGGAAATTCTGTGTATTACAAAGTTTGTATGGAGGAAGAATAAACCGGGTTAATCAAGAAAGGACTTGTATCGCTGAAGTTTCTGGGAAAGAATTTATACCGAAAATTAACAAACAAGCAGATACGCAACACTGTTATTAGAGTAAATCTTAATAAAGTGATAAAAGAAAATTATCATATGTTGAAACTGTGAAAATTAATTCAGA